TGGTGTGTCATTTGCGCGTGTGTTCTCTTTTTAAACCGCAAAATGAAGTGACAAGGGGCGGAAGTGGTGTCTTGTGGAAGAAACAAACCGCTATCAACAGCGTGTGTTTGAGCTATCAATGTTTTGCAATGGCATGATCTTGATAACACCACTAACGGCTATGTAAACTCTACTGAAACTCCCTCGGCAATTTCACATTTCGATGTGGTGCTTGTTGGGGGACAGTTGAGGCAGTAAGAAACAATAAGAAGAGAAGAGATCAACAGAAGTAAGATAGGATTGAGTGTAGAAATTACATGTAGCATCATGATTCGATACTCTTCAAAAAATATTAGGTTAGGCGGAAGTTATCCGTCTTTAATTGGGCTCATAGCTCCTTGATTTCTCGCTGATCGATGATTTTATCGGAGATTATGATGTAGTCTGAAAGCGCGCAATCTGTTGCACATTTTGGTGTACAACGCTTGTGTATTTGCCTCACTATGGAGCTTATGTGAGCGAAGAAGGTTGCTCAGTCTGTTACATGAGTAGATGAGTAGTTGAAGGCACGGTTGCAAAGAGGGCTATCGAAAACATTTGTTGATCAGTCATTTGTTGTTGTTTTTGCTTGATTTGTCAAAAAAACACTCCTGTGTGAATCGAAAATGGCGGATAATTTTCGCTCAACCTATAAACACCTCTTGTGCATACGCGTCATCTTCACAACGTGTTTGTGCCACATGTAGAAGCGAGCCCAGCAGAAGGCGTAGAGCTTACGCAGGGAAGGGAGATCCTGGCCCTTGCCCGAGAGAACAAACTTGTACGGAACACAGTGCGTCTTTTTTTGTTTCCTAAAATCACCTTCTGCAGACCCAGGAGTAGTTAATTCCACTCCACGGAGATAAGCCGTTTGGACAGAGCGAGCACCCTGAAGTAAGGCGTGAATTATATTGTTCTGCTGTAGTCACGTACAATGCGCGACGCATTGACGCGTTAAAACGTGTGCTCGCCCTCGTTTTCTCTGCGCTCTCAACGAAGAGAGAACGCGTCGAGCAAACTCGCCAACTGTACTAAGCGCCGTTCATATAGGAGGTGGAGGATGGACACACGCTCGCGCGCGGCGCTCAGGCTCCCCCCGCCCGCGCGGCGGAGCGTACGCTGCGACGCTCGACCATTTTGGATTGCTGCCCTGGACCGAAGGGGTAGCGTCGTTGTTGGCACGCGCTGCGAGCGCAATGTACGTGATTGCGGCAGGAACGTCGTAATTCACGCCTTACTTCAGGTGCTCGCTCTGTCCAAACGGCTTATCTCGACTCTACGGGCTACAGCGCTCATCTAGACTCGCTAGTGATCTACAAGTAATTATAGTTTTTCATGGTTTTCTAGAAACGTTCTGTAAGAATTCTTTTACGATCAGGGTGGTGAATGCTTCGCTTTTGCTCCCGCAGGAATAAACTCTCGCAGAAATGGAGATCACCAAAATAGGTGAAGCCTACGAGCTCGACCGAAACGTCGCCAATGTGAGCTGTCCAATGGTGGAACAGTGGATCGCAAATTGAAGAATCGCAAGCAACTGAATTTGCTGGCACTGAATATCAGCCATTCGTGGTTGGCAGTGTTTTCTTTTGTGCTTTTGTGATCTTCGTTAATCAACTCCGCATCTCTGTTTGTCTGTAGCGTTACACTTGATAAAATTTGAAGCGTCCTCGTTTCTGCAAAAAAAAACTATTCAAATCTCAGTCCGCCTACAGGTTAAAACTCAAATTATGAACACTCATTTCATGTATTTTCCCTACACCACTCCTAGTCAATTAGAAGACCGTCAACGCTTAAACCAACACAGCGCAGTATAGAGAATAGCCCCGAGATAGAGGTAAGAGCGTTTCGCAATGATGACTGAGCAGCGGACTGAACTGGAACTGTAAAGGAAAGCAGGAGGAATCATCGGAAACGTTAAAATTCAAGCTTTCACTTACTGTAGCGTCGGATGGGGTACGATGGCGGGACAGGGCGACAAAAGAAGACGAAACACGCGGGAGAGTACGCCGTTCGAGCGAACACGCTTAATCTCTACATCAATCGTGGCGGGTGGGAAGAATTGCAATGGGGTCCTATGGTTGCAGCCAGGGTCAACCTTGCGTTGCGCAAATTCCAAAATTTTTACGACTCCCCTCCTTTTCGGAGGGTATCAGTACGATCCTCCCCCCACCGCTTGTCAACTATATGTCTTTCACTATGATTTAAGCTCATCCCTCCCCCCCCTTGATGTGGTGGCATCACAACATGATAGAAATGCTGTGGACCGCGGTCAATCGCTCGCTGTCTCTCACTCAGAGGAATTCTACAATCGCTGAATTTATTCATTAAAGAAAATTTTCCAATTTTGCAATCTTTATCTTTAAGCCAGATTAAATTCTTCTTCATTCGTGTGTAAACAGCAGTAGAGAGAAGAGTTAAGCGAACATAGACATAATTCATCATCCACACTCCAGTGGATGGGCACTTTCTGAAAGACCTAGCAAAACAAGCTGTAATCGATGAGCTGCCAAACTGATCGACTTTTGAAATTCCAGTTATAGATTCTTTCTGAGATTTCTGTCATCATCGTAATCTCTTTTGAGAGAGAAAGAAGTCAAGAGGGGTCCCTGATGTCTATCATAAACCCTCGATCAGAGCGTGGAAAAACTGCCATCACTGCATCAAACTGCAGAGGAGCCATTCCGATGACTTTCTGCTGGTCATAGTTATCATAAGATTTTTTTTGACATCCTGGGGAAATATCAGGGCTCAGTAATCTAACACAGCAAGAAGGAAAGATAGAGATCCGATCCCCTAGCAACACTGACTGCTGACACTCACGACTGCATTTCATTCGATCACACCCAATCTTCAAAGTCCAACATAATAATGCTATAACACATCGAAAGATGAAAATGTTTCTGAAGAAGTTTCGTTCATCGAAGGAATAGGCGAATCATGTAGAATCTCGTATTTTCCATGCTCCCTGTCTATCGTGTATTTATATTATCGAAGCATCCATCATGTTTGATGCAAACATTGCTATTCACTACTTGCAGGAACAGTATGCAATGATCCATTTCCCGCTTCCCTTTTTTCGAGCATTGCCGTAGTGCTCGACACTGTTTGATACAATTAACAACTAGTTCCATCTTTCGTAGTTACCAGCTGTAAACTGATGCTCTTTCTTTCCATATTTTCAAACCCAAGCCCTCCCATCCAAGTGGTAACTCGTGTACGCCTGACGCCTTGCTTCACATAAGCTCTGACTAGGACTTTGATTGTGAAATACAACATCCATAACATAGTGTGTGCCAAATACTCTACACTCGCTAGCAAAAACTGCTACGACCACACCACATAAGTTGTTCTGGCAGTGCGAGAAAATAAGCGCAAAATGGCGCACCACCAATTCGATTTCATTATTGTAAAGGAGACCTACACAAAAAAATAACTTACAAGCAGTTTTTATCAACTTCCAGAAATCTTAGGGTCAAAATATTGAAAAAATGGCCGTTGCAAAACTATACGACATAGCAGAAATTTCGACAATTTTTTCACTTCAGTAAAATTTCTCCGTAAACTCAACAGTCATAACAGTGCAGTGTTGTAGACAATATACTCCACGGATTTACCTTGTGACGCTCTCACCTTAAAGGACGAATTCACGCTGGAAAGGCAACCCATTTCAAATTAAGTTAGCGATGGTGAGTGGTACACTAAAGAAGGAAAAACCATGAAACGGCCCAGAACCCGAGAAATGGGACCCCTTCCTTGCCCGTTGATTTGAGCATTGATGCGACTATCATCGCTGTGCCCTCTTCAACGCTACGCTCTCTCACCTATCTAATCACTCACCACGTATAGACCTGCGGCGAGTGATCAGATGATCGGTGGGCGTGCACTGACCAGCCGCGGCGGGATTAAACCTTAATAGGTCAACGAGGTCAACTCCTCCTGTGCAAATTGTGCTTCAGTTCGCACACTTAGGAGCTCCGCGGGTCCCTCAACCAGGTGAATTCTTCCTAATTCGATTTTCCCTCTGATCGTGAATTCGTCCTTTAAGTATTGATCTAAAGTATGTTCTACGAAATTGATTTGGAAAGGGAAGCCCCAGCATCGATGCGGTAACCTAGGATAGCGCTTTGCAGTGCGATGCACGGAATATGTATCGACTTCTCTAGCGGATAGAGGACATCGATCAGAGATGCCCAAAGCGGTTTTAGACTAAATAAGAGTGAATCATTCGAGTAACACATGGTATGCTCAAAAAGCAGCCAGTTGAGGGCGACTCAAAACGGGACAACAGCGTTGTACTATGCTGCTTCCTGCTGGTTAGAGGAATTACATCTGGAATCGGCGAAGAAACGATTACGCCGCATACACAGCTATAGGCTGCTTTCTTCTCCTTGCTTCTTTCGTTGCCCCCAATAATCTTACACCTTCAAAATCTATTTTTGAGTGCAGGAACAGCGAAGAGTGGCTAAAGTGGTATGTTTCATCGACATCAGATCAAACGGAGCAGCAGTCTTGAAGACGGAAGAGATGTTGTTGTCTGCTATTCGTGTCGAGATATAGTTTGATGGGAAGTGACAGCAGACAAGTTCTAAACAAAACTATTACAATACTGATTTACTAGAATTTCTGGGAATTCCTTGAGCAGAGTCAACGAAATTCGCAGAATTAAGCAGATGAGCTCGAAGATCCAAAACAAGAAAGGCTATGGGTTTCTTAATAATGTACATATGGGGGGCTGGAAAAGGTTTCACTTACCGCAGCACGAATTATAACTTTCTTTCCGAACCACCGTTCAGAAATTTCAGCCTCAACTTCCCGCTCAGTAACACGATGCTGTAGGCGTTGATTGTTATTATTATGCCTGTAGAAGAAGAAGAACTGAAAAAAAACATAATGTAATGAGAAGAAGCGCGGAGAATCGCCCTGCTCATAATCGTTGCGATGGGTAGCACAGAAAACCAAAGAAAAATATAATCCGGGCAAATAGAAATTTGTGGTTATCAATGTTTCCTAAGTGATCTCGCTTTCCTTTACTATGCTGCTCCAATTATTCAATATAGTGCAAGCTCGCGGCATCTAGAGATCGAAATCTGAATCGGGTCAGTCCGGGTAACATTGGATCACACCGATAATACTTAGCCATCCTACTCAATGTAAGGTGACCGAACAAACTAGGTATAGAGCATCGGTAGGGTTGGTCTATGGTTGTGTATCGTTGGAAAACAATAAGCTGCGCAGTGGGAACTATGAGCTTTATCTATTGAAGAGGTTGCTATATTTTGGACCCACTGAGTGCTTCCATTGTTTCCAGGTTGAGAAATGGAAAAATGTTTGTCTATAAGCAGCGGAATACAAATTCCTCGGCGTTGGATGTTTGCAAGTAAGAAACACCCGCAAAAAAACGCTCGATTCCATTAGGTATGCGTCATAAGGAGTGGTCAAACATAATAAGTGCAATAACCATGAAAAATTTTTTCAATATTTGAATTGTTCAAATACGAGTTTGACATTATAAGTGTAATAGCAATATTTATTGATGAATTTATTATATTTGACATCACGGCTTACCTGTTCACTGGCCCATAGCAGAAAACCAGTGAATTGAAAACCCGTAACGAATGCAGTGTTGTTCACCGAATCCATCACGCTCAGAAAAACGCTTATAGCTGTCAGAGCGATGAGCCCCTGAATGAGGTAGTAAGTCAAAAACACAAACAGAAAACCAATAGGGCTAAATTTCTTCTGAGAGAAGCCTAATTGTGAGGTTGCAATGTTTAGATGGAGTGGACCAAATTTTTGTGGGGCTTTAGAAAATTTCCATTGCACATTTGAATGACCGTTAGGCGCATTCACTTTGAATTATGTGCTATTGTTGAGCAACATTCAAACTAGAAGCAAGAGTAACTTCTATCACTTTAAAGTTCGACCTTGCCTCCCCCTGCCAGCGCCTGAAAAACCGAAGATACGTGCCACTTCCACCCTCCTTATCTGTAACTTGTTAGGTCGAAAAAGGTCTATATGTTTGTTAATGCTTTAAGAATCTTATCGAAAGTAATACTTCAAAAAAAGTAACACGTTCGAGTCTCAATACTGGCCGTACCAGTATTGAGATTCGAACCTGGACATGAACAACTACAACTTCAGAAGAAGCTGCAGAATATTGAGGAAAAGAATTCGATAGAATTCTCACCGTTTCATGCACTCGTTTCTTTCGTTTTCTTGTAATTCCGGCGAAGAATATATACAGTAATAATAATTAGAACTGTACTGAAGAATTCGTAGAGATATACGATCGTAACATGCATGATGAGTTGAATCTATCAAAATATGTATTAAGGGAGAATTGCTAAAGAAATCAAGGCTCTAATTAACGCCCCATCAATGTCGTTTACCGAAGGTATTTCCCAATATTTAGGATATTGGCGAGCTTCTGTTATGAATTTCACATCTTCGCCCACGATGAAAAATTTAATCACTGCAAATTTGGTGCCATTCGGTTATTTTTACCTAAGAAAAAAGCCCTAGGTCCTTATGAAGGTTGTGCTCACTAGTAGTCAAGTAGAAAGACAATTTGGCGCAGTGTTGCTCCGGGGGTAGCCCGTCAGATTCACGGATTTGCTCAGTTTTGGGTCTGAGCCTGTCTTCTGGGTTTGAAGAAGAAGAGGGAATCCGAGCTGCGTAAGCAATTTTCATTCGCTCCGGAATTCGTCCCTTTGCGTTAGGCTTCAGTCCTAGTGGCCTTCCGACAGACTGCTCCCCGGAGGCACATTGCGCCGATACTTTTTTTGGCGCTACCACAGGGTAGGGGAGCGCCTGCAGCGGTGACCCATTTGAAATCACGTCAAACATCCATTTTTTGTTGTGAGCATAACTAAACTCCGGCCAATTTATCAGCGATTTCCATTTTCCTCAGAGTTCGTGCCCTTTTCCAGTCAGCCTTGGTGGGTGTAACCGTACATATCTTCGCGATAGCGCCCTTTTTGGATATCTACCTGTGTCATTTTTCATGGTGATGACGTAGTTACTGTCGTGACAGCGCCACGACCTCGAGTAAAGGTGCTCCAAGGCAGCTGGTTAGAGGCAGGGCAAAATACCGGTTCAAACTCCGCGCCATCGGCACAGGACCTTGGTTGCCTGCGCCTTCAAACTGCGCGCGAACCGTAGCCACGTCACTTCGCCGCCATTGCATCATCCTGAGCGGTCGCCCTCTATTCGCCTCTCCGGTTATCGGCTTTCATCGCTGTTATTCTATTCCATCTTCACGCGATGACACCAGCTCGCCATATAATAGTTAGTTTGACTTTAGCTTATATATCCTTACCTAAATATTAGCTTCAGTCGCCTCGCCGGGATAACCTCTAGTAGTTACCTTACTTTCTTCCACTTAGAACTTAGTCTCAATATGGGAGTTAGCACCTTAGGTTCCTTCTTTGTATTTGGTTAGTATTCTCTAATAATAGTCAATCGTAGTCTCATCAACCGTAGTATTCTTCTCTTCTATTCTTGCAATAGGATTTACAAGATACAGATGCTTTTCGTGAACTCTTTCTAGTATGTATTTGTCTACTATTTGTGTAATGTTTATTCAGGCGATATGAAGAAGCGTAATATATAAGCCTATGACAGTTAACTCTAACACAGTATACGCCGCGCACATGTCGTTGCACGCATCTTCCCTTCAGAGGTGTTGTGGGCACCCACCGGAATCCCACGTTTTGCCGTGTCTCGTCGGATTCGCCGATGCGTACTACTCCACTGATCCGCCTGGCACGACAGTTACCCTCCCCTTCAAAAAGCCAGAAAGTGTCAGGGTGCAGACCATACACCACAAGTGACGACGGCCTCCAGAAAATGCAAATGTTTTTTGCCAATGAAATGATTAGCCTGTTGCAGTTGTATTCTATCAGTTGTCACTAATTACAACTATCATTTACCAAAAATCAGCTATCACTATGAACACTACTAACCAGATTTACTTGGAGGCCGTCGTCAGTTGTGGTGTTTGGTCTGCACCCGACACTTTCTCGCTTTTTGAAGGGAGGGTATCTTGCCGGCACACAAATCAGATTTGTTGTTAGAGATAGTGGATACAAATTATGTCAGGAAAATCGCTCCAGAATAGCTTTTTTAAATTCGTAACACTTCACCTGAACTGAGTCGCTTATGGGAATAAGCCCTGCTTCCGTGTTGATATATGTTAACTTAGTAATGAATACTGGTGATGACAGAGCGAGGGAAAGAATAATATCAGCTAATAAAATTATTCGTATCGCTTTAACGCTTGACAACTGAAAGTAGGAGATTTGTGCCTTCTTTCATTTATACATAACTTTCACCTTACCCCAGTTCCGCTCTGCCTACAGGTAGTGATCACGGTTGCGGAAGGGCGGTGCAGTTCTGATGACGCCATTGTTAAAAGGGCGGTAAGAGGCGGTCCCGACCACACCCACCAGCGCACTGAGGGTTCCAGTTCACAATGACTTCATCGAAACTGCATCGTGATCAGTGAATTCATGTTGAACTATTGTGCAGTTGTATCAGGTGCTACAGGGGAGCGGTCAACAGAATCGTCTCGTCGTCGCGCTGCCACTTGCGCGGGGTCGCGAGGCGGCAATTTTCCGATTAGCGCGGGATTTCTGGGTTTGAAGGTTGGTGCAGTCGATTGAAGTGGGATATTAAAGGACGGGCCTGTTTTGCGTACCTGTAACATTCAAGATCAAATGGCGCTAAGCAGGCCAAACAGGCCCGTTTCTGATATCCACTTCAATCAACTGCTCCAACCGTCAAATTCAGAAATCCCGTGCTCATCGGAAAATTGCCGCCTCGCGACGCCGCGCAAGTGACTGCACGCGGCACGACGAGACGATTCTGTTGACCGCTTCCCTGGCGAAACAGGAGTTCTTCGGAATTCATCGTACCGTCGTAAATGATCATGAAGAAAATATCACTGATTACTTCAGACGTTTTCTCGAGCATGAAATGAACGCAAGCGCCATGATATTATGTACCAACGTAATATCTACCCTTATATCACTTCCTGGTGGAAATCCCGTTCAAGAGAGGCCACTCCTTGCTATCTTGTCTTTACCTTGGGAGCACTCGTTTGGGCTCTCCGACACTAAGGATAAGATAATTTGTTAACGACTCATATAAAGTGTTTTTTTTTAATGAGAACGGGTATATGTCTCACATTCAACTCATCCTGTCCCATCCCTATCCAAGTTTTCACCAAGTCTCCACCCTGCACTTTTCCACCAAAGACCTCACTAATGGATGGCCTCCAACTTGTATTTAAACGTTTTCTTTCCACCGGACTCTGTAACATGGCATCCTATAAAGCTGAATTATTTATTACATAAATGGTATAGTACTTGTTGTTAAAATTTACTCGGTGAGCATTTAAAGCAAACCGAAAACGTGAATCTGTTGAAGGTAGCAGAAACGCAGCCAAAAAGTGTCTACCTACACTGAATACCACAGAGTACGCCATCCTTGTTAGAAACTCATACTCTGGTCCTGAAAGAAATTATGATGACAGTACTGATAACAAGTCTTATAACTGAGCGGCCAACCATCATCCTGGTTGAATTTCAGGATGGGTGCAAAACCCTCCATAGGGGTCGAAAGCGTCTTCATAAGCTCTATTCAGTCTTTCCTATGACAGCCCATGCTTCTCGTATTCCAATACAACCTCCGACCTACCTTTTCCATGCATCTCTATACGCTGACCACGAGAGCAGATCAACAATTGTTTTTGTTTGAAATAAAGAAGACAGAGGATACTTTTTCTAAGCTTCCACCTATCAACAGCCAGCCTTGAACATCGCGAGAAGTCCCTTCCTCACCAGAATACGGTGTCCATTTGAGTAAAAAAAGGCAAGGAGTTATGCAAGGTCTCGTAATGTGAACGAGGAACTCAGCCACTTTATTGCTACAACACTTTCGACAATTTTATATTCACACGTGTCTGCACGATTATACACTCTATATCTACTCGTATAATGTCTTTAGTATTATAACCAATGTGGAAAGCTAGGAATAGCACCGTAGCTACAAAATGTACGCATGTGGCGCAATCATACTTGTTCTTTTGCTCATAAGTGGAAGTGCTATTCCCAAGATTACTCAACAAGTTCATCTCCTTATCAGGTAACTCCCTTCTGACGCAAAAATTTCAGATGAGCACCACGAAGTGGACGCCCCTACAACAATATTCCACTAAAGCTCCACAGAACTGCCTGAGACAAGGTGAAATGCATTTGCCAATCCATCGTGATGGCAGATACGCTGATGTCACGCACCGCGACCGCGAACGCTAGCTGATTTTAGCGAATCGCTCGATTTGTGAAGTCTTACATCGGCTACATGCTGTGCATGCTGCCTCCAACAGAGGCGCGTCGAGTGCAGACCATACGCCACAAGCCACGACGGTCTCCAAGTGAGACTAGTTATTAGTGGTCCATAGTGATAGCCGATGGTTGGTAAATGATAGCTGTATTTAGTCACAACTGACAGAATACAACTGGAACCGGGTCATTATCTCAGTGGCAGAAAACATTGCATTTTGTGAAGGCCTTCGTCACCTGTGGTGTGTGGTCGACGTGCATCTGGTTTCCTCTAGCGGATGATACTAACCCTCGAGAGGTTTTGAAAATTAATCATTATAAACTGACCAAAATGCACTCTGTATTCGATGCGAGTGTACAACACCGCGGCGACATTAAGCATATCGAATATTCCTGAACATGCAGTTATTTTCAGAACTAGAATAATTTAGCAGTGACTCTACTTTTATTCAGTTTTCATCTACCATAATTCATGCGCTCATGTGAGCTGAGAATCCTTCTTGCTGCGGGTTCTTGTTTCCAGACCAGTGAGCTGTAAGCTTCACCTTGAACTAGTGAAGCGACTACAAAGACAGAAAAAATTGAGGTGACACACTGACATTGAAAAAAGGGACAACATGGAATTTCGAGCAGACGAAGCTTCGGGATAATTATTGCGTTGTTAATCCATCACAGTACTATGTACCACGAGGTAATCCCACCCACAAGTTTCATAGATTACAGAGCAGTAGGCGACACGCCTTTTCACTCTTACCGCCTATACCTATTCAAGCTATCGATATGAATTGCCCTCGGGACACCGTTCGTTCTGGGCACCTAATCGTGTATAAAATTTGGAACCACAGGTACCTTGATCCGAAAAATGGGCTTATGAAATCCGTTTCCGAAAGAATTTCTAGCACCCCCACCACAGAGTTCATCTGGTGGCGCCACCTTCGGGCAGAAGCTGGAAATTTTCTCATCTAGCGAATGGATAAAAGTCGCCATATCGGCAAGCGAATTTGACGTCTTGAGATTTCTTCGCCGCCTTATGATTCCTGCGCTGTGTCGCCGCATCTAGGCGCCATCGCCCAAAATGGTCTGACACTTTTGCCGAGTCGGATCAAGTATTCCTAGAGGCTAGTTCACTGTCAGATCCCCAAATAAATTTTAAGAAGAATCTAGAAGAAACAGCACGTCAAATGTGGGACTGTTTTTTAGAGTGAAATTCTCAAATAAAAATGAAGTTGCGATAAAAACTCAAGAAAATGGACATACCAGTGAAAACAAATATTCGAAAAAACCCCGAATGATAGCTTTCTTCCTTCGATGTCAGAATCACATAGATAATATAGCTATAGAAAGTGATACCAAAGCGCTGTAAACGAAAAATAGATCAACATCAACAATTATCTTCCCACAAACTATTCATATTCGATGAAGTTATGGCTCTGAAAAAAAAACTGTTTGTGGTGGGTCAAAAATTCAAGAGCAGTCGCGTTTGATAGAGAATATCTATGAGAATAATTAAGGTGAAAATAGGAAAAGAGCTGCTTCTCACAATCAACTAAGCCTTTTACATCACAAATTTGGCAAATTCCCAACAAAATTGGCGGCTGTCGCAAAGTACGGGAGCGTCCTTGAGGACCAAAACTAGAATAGGGCAGGGACACTAG